AATGGATCTTGGCTGAAAGCAGAGAATACCAGAAAGATGTTTACCTGTGCTTTATTGACTATGCAAAGGCTTTCGATTATGTGGATCATGACAAGCTATGGACAACATTGGGAAATATGAGTATTCCAGAACACTTAATTGTGCTCATTAAGAATCTGTACTTGGACCAAGAGGCAGTTGTTCAAACAGAACATGGAAACACTGAATGGTTTAAAATTAAGAAAGGTGTGCGACAGGGCTGTATTCTTTCACCATACTTATTCAACCTGTATGCTGAGCAAATAATTTGAGAAGCTGGGTTATATGAAGAAAAATGTGGCATCGGAACTGGAGGAAGACTCATTAACAACCTGCAATATACAAATGATACAACCTTGCTTGCTAAAAGTGAAGAGGACTTAAAAAACATTTACTGATGAAGATCCAAGAGCACAGCCTTCGGTCTAAGTTACATCTCAATGTAAAGAAAACAAAAATCCTCTCTGCTGATAACATTCTTATCAATGGAGAAAAGATTGAAGTTGTCAAGAACTTCATTCTTCTTGGATCAACTATCAACACTCATGGAAGCAGCAGTCACAAATTCAAAGGATGTATTGCATTAGGCAAATCTGCTGCACAAGACCTTTTTAAAGTGTTGAAGAGCAAAGATGTCAGCTTGAAGATGAAGGTGCACCTGACCCAAGCCATAATATTTTCAATAACCTCATATGCATGTGAAAGTTGGACAGTAAATAAGGAAGACCATAGAAGAATTGATGCATTTGAATTATGGTGTTGGAGGACAATATTGAAAGTGCCATGGACTGCCAGAAAAACCAATAGATCTGTGTTGGAAGAAGTGCAGCCAGAGTGCTCCTTGGAGGCCAAGATGGCCAAACTTTATCTCTCATACTTCAGACACATTGTCAGGAGGGAGCAGTTGCTGGAGAAGGATATCATGTTTGGTAAGGTGGAGAGTCAGAGAAAAAGAGGAAGATTCCCAACGAGATGGATTGGCCAAGTGGCAGCATCAATGGACTCAAGCATGGCAACAATAGTGAGGTTGGCCCAGGATCGGGCAGTGTTTGGTTCTGCTGTGCATAAGTTCGCTGAGTCGGTACCGACTCGATGGCACCTACAACAACAATATATGACCTTAGATGAATTATCTATTTTCCTGATGCTGTTTTATTGTCAAGGAGTCCTGGTCTTGCTGTTGGATAAGCCCTGGGTTGCTAGCCCAACATTGACTGTTCAATCCCACCAGCTGTTCTGTGGAAGAAAGATGAGACTTTCTGCTATGGTAAAGATTTACAGCCTCCCAAAACCTGTATGCTGGTGTGGTGCTGTGGCTTTATATACAGATATAATACACTGGACTGGAAAGCTGATTTGATCTGCAAGGTTGGTGGTTCAAGCTCACCCTATACCAGGTCACTCTGGGTCTGAACTAACTCAAAGACACTTAACAACAACAATGCAAAAAAACCTATATGGGATCTTTGTAAGTCAGTATCAACTCGAGGGCAGTGGGTTTGAATTTTTGGTTTGATGACCCTTTTGCAGGACTTATTTAAGATGAAAATTGTCTAAAAAAGATATTATGATTTTGATATGATTGGATATGAATATACTGATATGCTTATA